TTCAGGTTCAAAACAGAGTAAAGCAACAGTCATGGAACACTCAGAGTGGAATAGAAGGAGACTGGCATCCTATGAAGGAAGAATAGTAAAAAGGACATACCTGAAGTGTAGTAGATGATATTCCAAGGAATATCATTCCAAGGCAGACACAGAGAAATGGCTCTAGGCATGAGAGTTCAGGGTTGGGGATTGGCTCCATGGTAGAGTGCTTGCCGGACATACCCGGGTTTGATTCCCAGAACTGCTAAAAAAGCCAAGTATATTGGCTCAGTGCCTGTAACCCCAGGAACTTGGAAGGTTGAAATGGGAGGATTGATTGAGCCCACCTGTTCTAGATCACCTTGAAAAACATGGTGAAACCTCATCCTAGGGGGAAAATCATGGGAGTTCAGCAGTCATGCAATGTCCTTGGTGCTTTTCTCTCCCTCTTCCATGCAAGAAAGTCCTCAGGATGCCCAGTGTAAAGCACTAACTTGGACAGTGGGAGGAAGGAAAGGCCTGATGCTTGATCACAGGCTACAGATGTTCATTTTTAAAGGCTGAGAAACATCAGAGTAAAAATAAACAGACCTTTTTTAAAAGTAAATAATGGAATTTGAAAACCAGGGTTTGCATGCTAGCCCTTATAAGTTTACTAGCTGAGCAAACAGAGCAATTCGCCAAACTGATCAAAAACTCAGTTTCCTCATTGATTTAAGTAGGTCCTGAACCATACCTACTTCACAGGGTAGTCTAAGAATAGGTCATTCTAGACCTGGCTATTGGTCCCTTCCATTCACATGTCTCTCTTTTTTCTTCTGGAAAATGGAAAATGAGGTGAAATATTCAATGGCATATCTGACGTGAATACACTTTCCATAGCACTCTTGCTAGCACTGACCTAAAATTGACTTTAAAATTATAACATGCAAAATAATTTTATAAAGGAACACTGCTTTATTAAAGAAGTTCTAAATATTGGACAAGAAGACGCACTGTAGTCCTCCAGATGGGGCAGCGAGGCAGGGACAAGACAGAATATCCAAGTGAGCTTGATTATCTTTACTCAAGAGGCAAAGCCAGCCTGGCTCAGGGATGTAAAACCACACAAGAGGGCTGTTCCCATGTGGCCATGAACCTCTGTGTGTCTGAACCTACCTCATGCAGACACTCACCAAGCCATGTACCTGCTTTGCTACTCTGGCTCTATAAAAGAACTGGACTTCTGCATGTTTCCTGAACCAGGAACTACCCAAAGGCAGCCATGTTTCACCAAATTACAAGAGTTGTCTCTGCTGAGACTCCTCTAGGTCCAATTAACACCTAGAACTTCTAAGAAATCAGTCATTAAGAATGGGGTCAGGATCCTTGTAGAAAACAGATGATGCATTCTAAGTGGGTTATCTGAAGAGTGTAATAAAAAGAACCCTTTTAAAAGGATGGGTGCACTGTAGAGAAACCAAAGTGAAGGGGTAGGAAGGAAAGAATTATTGACCTTAAACTTGAAGTTTTGACAATAACTTAAGGGTCCTCAGAAGCAAAGAAATCTGTATGGACAGTATCTCCTATACTTACCTTCCAAGGGAAAGGTCCCCTTGGGGAATAAATTCCACCCTCATCCTACCAGCCTCACTCTCCTCCTCCATCCTAACTCCTGTCATTACTGAACCCAGCTGAAAGCTAGAGACGTAGGCAACTGCCTGATGTGATTCATGAACCATGTACACCTGCTCAGGACTCAGAGCAGCACGAAGAGTATACCCAAGGGTCAAAGAGCACATACTTAGCACAGAGAGATTTGCTAGTTGTTTCCTGTTATGGGTCAAGTGAAGATAAATTGAGGTCTTAATTCAATCCCCCAGAACCTCAAATTGTAACATTATTTGGAAATATATTCTTTGCAAAAATAATCGAGTTAAAGGCAGGTCTGTACAATATGACTATACTCTTACAAAAAGAGGAAATTTGAAGACAGAAACAAACATAGAGAAGGAAGACAATGTGAAGACACACTGGAGAATATAGAGTGATGCATCTATCTATCACAATTCCAAGGACATCAGGGATTGTAGGCAACCACTAGAAGTGAAAGAAACAGGAAGGATTCATCCCTAGAGGCGCCAGAGATACCTTGGCCTTGCTGACACTGATTTCAGACTTCCAGCCTCCAGACAGTGAAAAAATAAATCAGCGTTGTTTGAAGCTACTCAGTGTTTAGTACATTGTTATGGCAACTTCCAGAGGCTAATACAGCTGACAAGGTGCAGTTGAGTAGATGTGAGCTTCAATGGACCTCAGAGAAGATTATATGCAACCCTTTAATTTTACAAATAAGAAAACAGAGGCAGGGGAGTCTTGCTTATAGCTAAACAAACTGAAACCAAGATTAAACAGCAGAGTCCCCAGGAAAGCTATCTGTCTGACTTCAAGGATAAAGGTCAGGAACACAATTTTCAACCTGGCTAAACCAAGAATCTTCTGCCATTCTCCTTAAGATATCATTCATGTTACAGGATTCTCTAGCATAAGTGTAGAATAAGTGGTAAGTGTCATCTTTTCCTAAGTTTCCAGATCTCTGCAGGATCAGAAGCTTTTAAAGGAACACCAAATAGTTCAAAAATAAAATTTTCCTTTATTCTTTCTTAGTGGTAAAGAAAAATGTCTGTGAACACCAAGAAAGACCACCACAGACTCTCTAGGACAAGTTGCTTTACTTCATTTTAAATTAGTCATTAAAAACAGTTACTCAAACGGAGCTCATTGTTTGCAGGACTGTTTTCACATATCCTAAAGAGGTGATAAGAAACTACACAGTCAGCAGTGGAGATGGGAAGGGAGAGAGAGTGAGAGGCCTGCCTCATCCAGAAGCAAAGAGAGTTCCTGTAGTGCTGTGATCTTTCTTATCTGGAGGAAGGTTTTGTTTTCTTGTCAATCAATTCCAACAGATCTTCTGAGGATTGACCACACCTAAGACTGGGGAATGCTCAGGAAGGAATGTGGGAAGGAAGAGGGGAGTGGCCATTTCCTGATGGGTCAGCTGCTGGCAAGTGTCTGGGCCCTGGGAAAGCTGTGGTCTAAGAATTCCTCTCCTCAGAGAGCTACCAGCACTGCGGGAACAATGCTGTGAATGGCAGGCTGGTGGTGACTCCCAGGTCACGCCTGGAGCAGCACAGTCCACCAGCAGAGGGTTGTGCCACTATAGGCCCCAACTCCCTGCAGTCAGTTGTTGAGCTCATAGTTCAAGCCCACAGGGTGCCGACAGGTAGTATTGTTCTCAAGGCACGTTCTCTCCAAGGGAGGCAATCAGCCTTGCACAGGAAGACTAAAGCCTCAGACTAACTAAAAAGGCAAACTGTAGAAGAAAAGTCCCATTAGGACTTCTCAGTTGGCCACTTTATGACAAGGTTCTTTCTTGGACTACCAAAGTCATCCCTTTATGTACAATTTCTGATTTGGCAGCAGAGATCTAAGTACTTGGGTCAGGCTCCTTTTACATGATCTCATAATAGTTCCTAAAGGGCCATGTTTCCCTGTGCCCAGATTCAGTGTGCCCAGGCTCCTTGAGGACAGTGCACTGCGGAGGATTCTGCCTTAGCCAGAGCCCCACCATCACACTCATTTAATGAAGGCTACACTAACCTATTTCTGTATCAGTGTTTTTCCTGGATAAGAGAGTTTCTTCCCTGACTTCCACAAGTAAGCTGTTAGTTGAGAACCATTTAATCATGTAAGAGTTTCTTTCATCTAGATCAGTATGGAGAAAAGCCAAAATAAATCAAGAAGAATCATTTTGTTCAAAACAAAAAGAGTAGCTGGAGAGCAGCAGTTAGAATAATATATTTGCCTCTTTTTTTTTTTTTTTTTCCTCTTTCACTCAAATATAAGCAGGGCACTTGGTTATTCTTCAGCATTTTGGAAGCCTCTGCAGCCTTCAAGTTTGGTGCATTGGTGACCTCTAGAGGACAGAATTGCAGTCCACACTCAATGGAAAGATAAGTCATCCCATAGTCTGGAGAGGATACGAATACATTATCAATTCTACAGCTGCAAATTAGCTTTGGCTTTTACAGATACAAAAGACTTCAGGAATTTATATTCCTCCAGGTAAAATAGCCATGGTGTTACATGATCCATGTTTCTGTAAGTGAAAGAAGTTTGTTGTTAATGAAATCTAAGAAAAGATGGGTATATTTTTCCTCCTAAGATAGAGCCTATTTTCTGACAAATTTTCAACTTGGCTGAAACATTGGTTTAGCTTAAGTGAACATCTTTAGCAATCCTTTACTTACTCTCCATACTTCAGTGCCCTGCCCAATTCTCAACCCAAGTGTTCAAGAATGTCAGAAAAAGCATTCAAAGAGGTTATTCTTGAACTCTATAAGATGATAGGACTCTGCATTTTCAGGATGTGAGTAAAGCAACTGGCCATGCTTCATCACATTTTCCTTCCCCCAAAGAACTTCCCAACAGAGTAGAGAGTGGCAGCAAAGTCCTCAGGACCACTACACATCCACATCTTAACTAGAAGGGTAGAGACATGACTGTAAAATGGAGCTCACACCATTTCCAAGAGGTCTTGGAACAGAGTTGCCTTTTCATTCACACAGAGTTGGGAGCTTTGAATCACCTTCACTCCTACAAAGTAACAGACTTCATATTACTAATCAAGGGCACAGAAGACAACCTAAAACCTTGCCTCATAGTATAGAGCATTTGGGAAGAAGTCATCACATCATTGAATTATTTTTTTCATTTAAAGACATCTACACTCTGGGGACTTTTTGAGGTATTTATCATATGTTATTTCCCATTTTCACAACTGCATTTTTAGTGAGTGTGAGTCTCTTTATTTTATGAATAAGAAACTAAGACCTCTCACTTGACCAGGGTCATATAGCATATAACTGGAAGTTGGCTTTCCAAAAGGTATGTTATTTCTATTATGTCACACAGTTTTCAACACCATATATCAACTGTTAGGGCAAAAAAAAAGTGCTACAGTTATGATTTAATCTACTCACTTTTTAGATGAGTTAGGGGAAGAGAAGTGGCATGTCTTAGATCACACTCTTCAGTGGTGGCAGAGCTGCAGCTAATTGCAAGTTGCTTATTTCCCAGCTGAGTGCTTGGGTCACTATACAGTCATTCCCTTCTCGCCTTTGCGGGAGCTATAAAAGATCACCACTGGATCAGCATGAATACTGGGAAATAATTCTCCCTGAACATTCTCTCTCCCATTTACCTCACTTGGTTTCCCACACTGGGATGTCTTCTGAGAAGCACAGGCAATCCTGCAAGACTCTCAACTCGAAGCTGGAGGCCTTTTTCACCCTTTCTTCTTCGGTACAGCTGTCTTCATTTATAACTCTATGGGAAAGAAAGTTGGAGAAAAGCCCATTAAAATAATGAGAAGAGCAGAAGGCTTGAAGACTAAAGGTTTTGAGAAGGATTGTTTTAGAGATTTAAAAAACAGATGGCTTTTCTTGAATTGGACATTTTATTCTTCTATAAGAACCTACTCAAATGACTTCTGGAAAGTACCATTAATTTCTCAGCAAATCAGTGTCTGCTTCTAATATCATGTTTAAGTTCTGTAGGAAGAGATTCTTATCTGGTTATGGTTCATAAGTGAATGATAGTACTGTCGTGTGGTTTAAATTGGACTGCTTTACTGGTCATAAAAGGATAGGATGGTAGGATTTTCAAACTACAAAACCCATCTGTCATGCAGGAATGGGTTTTCAATCCATATTTGCTTCTCTGTCATCTTTTTGCTGCTCAATTCTGGCCCATCCCACAAGTCAACACTTCTCAAATGGATCCTAGTTCTCTTATCAGTGAAGTGTTGTTAGCAGTTTTAGTGAAGATCTTTGAAGTCAAGAGGCCAGGTTTGTAGCGAGAATGGTGATTAGGGATTATCTGAGAATTTCAATGATCTCTGTCCCCTTCCTAGGGTTGATAACAGCTTTCAATGACTCATCAGGGAAGGAGATTCTGGGAACCACCTCAGTTTTCAAAACCTGCTTGTTAAAGTAAAAAAGATTTAAAATCTTCCTTTGTTATTGGCAGTCAGGGGCTTCCAACATAGCTGTGGAACTGGATAAGTAATCTTACCAGTCTGACCTTTAGGAATCTTCATAGAGAATCAGTTAGAAAAATTCCCATGTTGATTGGTCAGTGAGCTGGACTGTGATCCTCACAAAAGTACAAGAAGACAAATAGACACGTGCTATGAAGGGTTGCCCAGTTGTAGGACTATGGTAGGGCAGAGAAAGGGAGTTCAAGAAGTCCAATGCTTTAATGTCTTCCCCTGAGTTTTGATGTCTGACCTGCCTTGTTCCTATTTCAACACGAGCCAGCCAACTGGCGCTATAACAGGCACTAATTAGAAAGCACTGTTCAAACTTCTCCTCTGTCCTTTGGCCACAATGGAGCAGTTAATAACAGAACTGCAGTGGGGGTCCCAGCTAGTGGTGAATTGAGGACATTTTCATCAGGATCTGAATTGTTCACCCCCACTTTTTTTTTCTAATTCCTACTCTAGGAGGATGGTTAGTATAGAGTTATGAGATATTTTCACAAATGTCAGCTATTATGTCTGCTGCAGCCACTTACTGGTGTATGTCTGGGGCTGAATAGACTGTTGCCTAATGGCTCACCACTCCTAAGTTCTGCAGCAAAGAAGTTTTGGCACATTGAAACCTCCTACACCACACCATAAAGCAAACTCCTTGTTCTCAGTCAGCAGATGCCTAATAACAATGAAAAGCAGACGGAAAGTGGGCTCTCGGTGAGAAAGGCTGGTTGAAAAACCAGGAACAGAAAAGAAGCCCTTCAAAGTCATTGACATAATTGTCTAGGTAATTGACATGAAAAGCAACATTTAATGTTTAGCCAACTTTCTCTTTAGACGCAGAAAATAAAATAGATCTTTCTAGGACAGCATGGGAAAAGATAACTAATGCAGGAAGAATCAGGGATCTGACTTATAGCTACAAAGTTGCTTTCCCGTATCTATGAGTATGGAATTGGAGATTTTCAACAAGGGTACAAGTAGCTGTGGTCTCTGTTATAGGCCTCTCCATTATCTGAGTGCCTGTGTTCTTCGACTTGGGCTGTAAAATAAGACAACTCAGCCAGCTGCCCCTGGTAAAACACTCAAAAGGGCATTACGAGTGAAGTTAATAAATCCACCTCTCCCAAATGAACATCTGCATCTTCCTGCACATCACTGAGATATCTGATGTCTCCATCTATCTTCCTCTCTTCTGGTCTCCAAGTGCCTATAACAGAGACCACAGCTACTCTTCAGACTAGCAGCAAAGCACTTTTTAGGCACCTGTATGATCATATTAGTGGTATCTCATCATCATTGAACATCAAGACTGATTCTGGGGGCTGGGGATGTGGCTCAAGTGGTAGCGCGCTCGCCTGGCATGCGTGCAGCCCGGGTTCGATCCTCAGCAGCACCACATACCAACAAAGATGTTGTGTCCGCTGAGAACTAAGAAAAAATAAATAAATGTTAAAATTCTCTCTCTCTCTCTCTGTCCCCCCCCCTCACTCTCTCTTTAAAAAAAAAAAAAGAAAAAAGACTGATTCTGTAAGCATTCTAGCAGTGGTCAGTAGATAAAGAAAGGGTCACTTTGTTTTATTCATAGTATCCCCAGGCAAATTCCTCTTGAACACTTCAGCATGGTTTTTTGGGGGCAGGGGTAACTCTCTTCCCAGTACCTCTCCAGTCTCCGCCAGACTCAGACATGAGTCCAGTCTATGATAGCCTATCTCTGGACTCCCCTTTTGGTTCCTCTAGAATGTTTGGGGACCTAATAAGTGCCAGGTGCCATAGGAGCCCTTTATAAATGGTATCTCATTTGATTCTTAAAATCTTTGTGAGGCAGGTCATTATTTTAATTATTATTAAATTTTGCTGATGATGTAAGCTTTATGGCTTAAGTAAGTGAAGCAACAAGCAAAGGATGGAGATATGAACTCAAAAGTTCTGGACTTCAAGGTCAATGTCCAGTGCTCCTAATCACCCTCTTGGTCTAGCTACTGCCAGAGCCTATTTCAAAGACCAACTGTTCTCATCATATGATTGAATTTTCACTCATCCAGGTGGCTTGTTAGGATCATGCACCACAGCTGCTCTCATGACACTCTGAATACTTTGAAAGTAGAGATGTGGTAGCATGAGAGCTGGCTTACCAGACACATTTAAATATCTGCTGTGATTGACCCCTCATCCTCAGGAGAAAGACACATGATTTGGAATTTGCCTAGGTTTTGGAATGTGGATCAAGATGGTTTATCCATTTACACACTGTAGTAAACCTCTCCTGGCTTCACGTCCTCAGATAAAACACGGGTATTTCCTTAGGGCATTACGTACTTCGTATGAGATCTTGAAGATGAAATCAGTCAGTCATGACCAAAGCCTACCAGTAAATGACACATTATAGATACTTAATACTTGTCTGAATGAAACAGTATATAGACACCATTAAATTTAAACTTAAAATAGAAAGAGAAGTCAATATCAAATAATAAAGACTAATAATCATAAAATAAACAACATCAAAAAATCCTTTGAAAGCTCCATGAGTAAAAGCTACTTTTGCAAGATGAAGAGTTACTAAATTCTCCTAGTAGCACATTATTGAGCACACTGAGGAAGCACATGTCTAGTAGGAATATCTAGCACTCACTCTGGGGTGGGGGGGACTGATTTCAAATAGCAATGAATAATAATCATCACAGAAAATCCCAACAAAGAGCAGTAATCATAAAATAAACAGCAACAAATATTTCTACAAATCTCCATGAATAAGAAATCTTTTTTCAAGATGAAGAATTACTAAATTTTTCTAGAAACCTTACTGAGCACACTGACAGGCACATATCTAGCAAACATAGCTAACACTCGCTTTGGCAATACTGATTCACTTCAGGTCAGAAAATCCAGTTGGGACCTTATTTTAGTCAAGAGTTCTCCTCAGAAACAAAGCCAATAGGATCCATGCAGATAGATACATAGAGGATTTCTTTGAGGGATTGGCTGAAGTGATTATTGAAACTGAGCAATCCCACCTTCTCCCATTTGCAAGTTACCAAGGTAAGCCAGGGCTGTGGCACCAATCCAAGCCCAAGGGCCTGAGAGCCAGGAGTGTAAGTCCCAGTCTGTGTCCAAGGGCCAAGAACTAGGAGGATTTGGGAAGTAGTGTAAGTGTTGATCCAAGTCTGAAGGCCCAAGGACCAGAGGGCTAGTGTCAGAGGGCCGGAGCAGAGGGATGTACCAGCTCCAAAAGAGGGAGGGCCTATGCACCCTCCTCCACCTTGTGGTTCTCACTGGGCCCTCCTTGGGTTGAACAGCATCCACACACCAGGAGGGCCATCTTCTTTACTGAAGTCTGCTAATTCAAATGCTGATCTCTTCCTCTGGAAGAGCCTTCACTGACACACCCATAGACAATACTTTTCATACTTCTGAATCTCTTAACTGAGTCTAGTTGACATATAAACTCAGCCATCACAGAGCTGAACCTCCGAACTTTGAACTTTAAAGTAAATAGAACATGAGCTGGAGAAGCAGGAAGTATCTAAAAATCTATATGTGCGCATACCCTTGGAAGATTTTTATAGTACGCTAATAAATAATAAAACCTTTTACCCTCAGGTCACTAAAAGGCCATGCTAAAAGGAATCTTGAAAATAGTATATTAGGATACATAACAGATTTGTATGTACAACTTATGGAACAAGATTTTGGAGTTTCCCTGTGTACAGTGGTAATTATTTCAATTCCGAATATCAACATTTTCAAATAGGCATGGTTTAAGCAAGTGGGGATTTTTCCCTCGTATTCTGTATTATGTCAAAACTGATGCACCATCACTATAAGAGGAGTCATTATTTTATATTCCCAAGGAAAGAAATACATTGTGAATAGCTATGAAAAATATACCCATATTACTATGAGATTTTACCATATATAGGTGCCTTATGCAGGAACCCGTAATGCATAATCTCTGTGTACACTTTAAAATGTGAAATAAAGTGGTTATTTTTATATTTCTTCACAGAGTTCAACTCTTATGAATTCTTTTTTTGAATATTTTATTGCTTCTGAATTATTTTTAACTAATAATTGCCAATGAGATTTTTCATGAAATATTGGTCTCCATGCCAACAAAAGCATGAGTACGGCAGCATTTCTTAAAATAATCTTTCAAGATGTAAATACTAATGGTGCTGAAGTCTGAGGCCAAATTTGAAAGGTAGATAACCTTTCAAAATACTGCTAAAACCCATCTTCTTTACTATCTATCTCCCCACAGGTCCAGGGATTAAAAGAATGCTTGAGATCTTC